TGCCTATCGCATGGTGGTGTCCCAGATAAGATGGTATGTTTTTCCACTTTAACTGCTATTTAAAATTTGGATGGAGCACATTCAGAAATATAGAAAAGGACAAAATGAATAGTCGAGAAGGAAATGTTCTTTCCTTAAAGTTGAATTATTTAATGGATTTAAATATGCTCCAGTTGCAGTGGTTTGTTTCAGATGCCACACAGGGGAGGTGTTCTGGGCATGTCCCAACGAGTGGAGACCAGGACGTGAGGGACTGGAGGGACTATAGACACGTTCCACCTGGGGGGCTGCACTGCAAAAAGACAAATGACAAATGCTTAAAGTAAAACAGTGCTTGAAAAAGGCTACATTCATATTTATTTGAGTATTTATGTATTCTGTCTCCTCCATATTCTATGCCATTTCAGAGATTTAGGGTGTATTCAGACTTGCACTTTTGGTCCACTTTAAACGAAACAGGATTCGTTTGGAACTCTGATCCGAACCTTTTATGCAGGTGTGAATACACATAAACGAATCCTGGTCCGGACCAAAGAACCGGACCAGGTTCTTTTTTAGGTGGTCTTTTTTTAGGTGGTCTCGGTCCGCTTCCAAACAAACTCTGGTCTTAGTCGATTCAGGTCTGAATACAACCAGTGTTGATGCAACACAACTCCAGGATATGTGCGCATTTTTTGGGCTTAACAAGCCGTAGACAGAAACTGTGAGGAATTAGCCACGCGTCACAGCTGCTAACGCATGCTACACAACAACAAAGAGCCGTGGGCAGATCTGGAGCAACGAGGAGACAATGTATTTTAACACTCATGGTTATGTCCTTTTGGAGCAGAATCTTGTCTTATGCTTTAGATATTTGTCTAAACTGTGTGTTTATCCAGTGTCTTCGCAGGAGTCTTGGGGATCGCTGCCCAGAGCTGCCTCATCAGCCAAACCCTGTAATCGTTCCTGCTCAACCGGTTCAGAAAAGGACAATGCTGTGCACAGTGGCACCAGTTGGCGAAGGAACTAATAGATGAAAAAAAAAATAAGTATTACTAGACCACAGCAAAGCCAGCATATTTCCCATGACTTCAGAAGGCTTACTGTCTCCTAAACTTGACAGAGATAGCAGGCGGTCCGCACGTTCTATGGCTCAGATAAGTGGGGCCGCTGCAGTACCCCCATCAACCTCCCTTTAGTAGCACAATCCAAAGCCGTGAACAAATGGGAATACAAATACTGAACGTTTAATCTGTGGTAATCCCATGGAGCCTGGTGGAACCATAGCTCCAGGTCACTCTGCAAATCTGCTCCGAAAGAGCATGGACAGACCGACAGGGTTAGGGTTGTTTCAATTAGTATAGAGTTATTGTTCATTTATCTTGTGCTGTGTTCTCCTCATTCCTACTGTTCTGTAACCCGTGATGCGACACTGAAATTTCCCCACTGTGGGACGAATAAACAATCTTTTAATCTTAATCTTGCAAACATGAGGGTCATAATGAAGTTTACAATAAGAGACAAGATGAGGGTCAGAATGCAAAAAACAACTCAAAACCTTTACAACAAGAAAACATTTTGTGTGTAAGAAAGTAAGATCTGTCACTATCAATCACCACAAAAAGACCCAACGTGCCAAATATATGAACTTGTAAAAGAAATTGAATAGCATTTGTAAGTCCAAGTGTCTCATTCGCTAAATAAGCAAAGAGCAAAACAGGAAAAAGGGAAACGAATATCAGAAATGTATTGGTGAGATTGTGTGTGTGCACAGGTGAATGGTCACATCATGTACGGCTCTGTGACTGCCTCGATAGTTGGAAAAGCACAACCATTTAGCATTTACCATTTCCTAATATAGCTACAGCATATTCCTTAAACGACGTGTTTGCTCCTGATGGGACCATTTCTCTGGATGTTTGTTTACAGAGACACAGCGATGTTGCAGCTGAAGATTCAATATTCATTAAACATCCCCAGACTGCTGACCTTTCCCTCCTCCCTCCACTACTGCAGCCGCGCTTCATTTCATTCAATAAGAAACGCTAATGTTCAGCGCAAACAGCACCATACACTTTTATACCCCCGAGGCTCGTCTTGTCCGGGCTGCAGACGGTATACGAGGCATTTAATGAATGATCGACGAGGGAAAAGCAGCGTTAATTATGGTTTTGATTGAACAGGTGAAAAGAAAGTTTCTTATAGATTAGATTTATATGAGGATGAAGCAAACTACACTGCTTAAATGATGTCTATTGAGTTGTTAAAGCAAGAATATTTTAGATTTCTTTCTAAATAAAATGTATCCAGCTTTTATTTGGCGCTCCAGGCTCAAGGTTGACATGTACAATTCATATTTGGCCTTTCTTACTTATTCCACCAGTGCAATTATAGCTCAAGAGATTAATTTTATAAATGTATTAGCCCAGAGTTCAGATTCATGCTGCTAAAATCTGGAACAATCTTCCTGAAAGTGTGAGACAGGCCTCTTCTCTGACAATGTTAAAAATCAGCTTAAAACATTTCTGTTTAGCTGTGCATACAACTGAGGGATTTTATCTGTTTATCTTTCTTTTTAATGTTCTTTGATTATTTATGATTTTAATGCTTTCTTATTTTGTTCAGCACTTTTAGTAAAAATTGAAATAAAACTGCCTTGCCTTTATTTATGATCTATTATCTTAAATACAAGATCCTGTTTGATGTGTGCATAACCTGAGTGCTCTTATTTTCTCCTTTTATTGTAATGGCACTTTGAAATGTTCCCCTCTGAGGGACGTTTATTTTATCTCCTTGTCAAAATAATGATGCAGATTTATTCTTAATTACAAAAGCTATGGACACGAGGCGGCATTTACGCTAACATTTGATATTCAGACGATAATCCTGTGATTAGCTTTACATGGGTTTCCCATTTGAGTTGCCAGATAAGTGCCTAAACCCCCAGCTGCTGCAGCAAATTGGTGAAGCTGAAGAAGCAGCTGAATGTGGGTGTGCTTAACATGTTGGCAAAACACTAAAGAGTGTTTTATGTACATTCCCTCCTCTCCTCCATTCCATTACTACAGGGAAAATGTGAGGAAGTTTTACCCACAAAAGGGTAGAAGAGAGAGTGCCATTATTTTCTTGACTCTCTGCTGCCGGGACCTGCTGTTACCAAACCTCAAGCAAATATTAATTAGTTCTATTTCTAACCGTAACCTGACTGCTGCACCTATTGTATTGTCAATAAAATACATGGGCAAGAAGCATCAAAGAAAAGTGAAAGGAGTCTAGATCAAAGCAAAGAAAGAAACTGAGGAGCGGAGAGGAAGCAAGACTTGATTGACAGATAAATGGTGAAATGGAGGAGAGGAGGGAATATACCAAAGGCCACAATCAACCCAGAAGTTATTTAAATATTTCTGTATTGACATATAAAAGTTTAGTCCAAAAAAACTCAAACGTTATTCAGGTATTGAGGTAATCTACAGTGAATATACGTTTCAATATTTATGCAAAGTACAAGATAGATTTGATGATTTGGTTTAACATTCATTCATTTCATTAAAGAGAAACATGATTTAATTAATATACACATATGTTTACAATTTCAATAACAATAAGATTATTTTCTAAATCATTTTAGAAGCTCATTTACAACTTTGAATTTTAGGTATTTAGATTTTTAAAAATCAATAGTATTTTGTGTGTGTAGAGTTTATGTACCCAGAAAGTCTTGATTTTTTGCACAATTAAGACAACAGCTTGTTTCATAAGAAAAACTAAGCCTTTTTTTTTAACCTGCAGTGACATTGTAGGCTCCTCAAATCAACATAACTATTTCTCTCTTACCAATTTCAGTAAATATTTCAAAAAAAGAAATCTATAGCCCTAAAACACAACAGTATAGTGATCTCGGAGGACAGATACAATGTTTGCAACTTAATCATTAAAATTGTCTAAGAATTACGAGAAAATGGAAAACAAAAAACTAAATTAATTATTTATAAAACTTATAAAACTATATTTAATTAACACTGAAACACACACTATCAACACTGAAATTGACCAGAAAGACACGATTTGACTCATTTGTAACGTATTCTATTGTGTATTAAAAAACCTCACAGGTATAAATAGCAAATAAAGTTTTACGTTAGTCTCCAGCTCAGAGTGGACGCCACATATGTTTACCGAGAGTGAGCTTCTGTAATGAGATCTGCCAGTGTCTGCAGCGGTCAGACGGCTTCTTGTAATTGCCAATTTGTACCACTTTCTGTTCTCATGATATTTACACAAAAATACGTACCCACCATCGGTTTGGTGTTGTGTCTTCAATCCATTCACCAGATGGTTATGGCGCTCCTACTTTTAATATATCTGTGGAGACCTTTCCATCTCTGCTACTAAACACAGGTAGTCATTTGAGATGTGGTCGTGCTGCGTATGTTGCTTTTACGCAGGTCTAAGCTCATTAACACGCTGAAAAACCTGATCGACACAGTTGGATGGACTTGTTTTCTCTTGAGAGGTATGAAACAAACAGAATGAAATATACAGAAGTGGTTTCTATCATGACTTTATTTAGTTAGGGTCTGTGACTGAGCAATCACAAGGTAATAGAATCCAATTTAGAGAGAGTGGTTTAATCTGTGTTACGTCCTTTTGGGATGCGTCTGAATTATGTATGTTTTGCTGTAAATTATTTTTCCACTTGTGGCTCAGAGCAGCAAAGGCACACAGAGGATTTACAAATAAGACAGATTTTACTGTAATGAGGAAATCTCACATGTATTCAACCATTATGGTGACTTGCACTACTCTTGTTGATAATTCCCGATTTGTTCTAGATAGGAACAAAATACATCATATTAGAGGTTGTTTTCCTTATATGTGGCCGTTGTCAGTTATCAAGACCAAACATAAAAACAAAACAGTTATGTGCACACAACTGCACTGAAGTCTCCGGTCTCTCCTCCCTGAAGAGATCCACCTGCCTGCTTTGAAACCTGGTGCCACACCACATTTACATACACAAGATGGCTGACTATGGCATGCCCTCTCTAACAGGTAAGTATGAATGAAATAATAAAAAAGGAAATTTAATGGAAAATTATATGTAGTGAGAATAAGTGAGAATGGCGGAATTTAAAGAAAACCCACTTCTTCACAGTCATTATAGTTTATTGTCACTTATAATTAAGGGCTTTTTTGAATTTTCTGAGTTTCACCTGTACCAATGCACGGGAGACAATAGCGGCTTCTTACTGCTAATTCTATGCATAGATTATTTAGTATTAGACTCAGAATCAGAATCAATTTATTTGCCATTTGCAGAAAAAACTACATTGGAATACACACAGGGGACACCGGGGGCACCAACACAACAAAGCACACACACAAACAGAATAAAATAGCGAGACACAGTGAGGCAAATATAAAACTCTGAAAAGCATTATTAAGACACAACGAAGGAGCTACAAAGAGAAGCAGATCTCAGGGCGCTCTGTTCAGTCTAATAACCGCCTGAGGGAAGAAGCTATTTGCATGTTGGTATTATGTTTACAAACCAAAAGCAAAACATGTACATATATTGTTGTGTCTTAAAAGCTAGCACAAGGTTTTTGATAACTTTTTGTTCCTCTCGAATTCAGTCAAATGTTGTTTGCTATCTTTCTTGTATCCCATCATCTTCCTCTGTATTACACACAAAATGTAGTATGTGGAACAGCATTTCTTTTGAAGATCTAAAAGCAACATATAGAATAAATTATACAAGAATGTAATGTTCTTTCGCTCACATACTGCAACATTTGTTCCAACCCAAGAATACTCATCCAACTTTCTCCCTCTGCTGAACTGCGTGGACTGTTTATTAGCCTTTTAAAACTCCACGGATGGAAGTTATCATTAGATGCTGGAGTGTTGCGGACATTCTTTTATTTATCTAATGTGCTGCAGTAATTATGTGCTCTGAAATGTCACACAGTGGGTGGACAGCAGGCTGCAGGGAGAATGTTTTTTCTTTAATTGTAACTCGACATTATGGAGAGAAGACACCGGAAATATAAGAAATATGCGGAGGTCAGATTGGCTCAAGTAAACATTGTCTTAATGTGTAAAAATCATGCGATACATATGAAGTGTTGAATGTGGAAACACTCATTACTGTAATGTGGAGGACATTACAGTATTCTGTATTGTGTGGTTCTCTTATATACTCTTTATTTGGGCTCGAAGGTGAAAACAGAACTCTACTGACTGTGGTATCCATTTTCACTAATGCAGTGTTTTTCTACCAGTCCTCAGTAGCACCTTGAGTGCACTGAGATGTTGTGCCTTTGGAAATTATCTACCTAAATTATCACCAAAGTGCATTCATTCATCCCCTTCATCCAGTTCTGGGTTGGGGGTGGCAATAAGAGCTGCCACTTAACTCTAAGAGCACCAGCCTCTCACTGAGCCTCCTGCAGGTGGTGAGTCGACAGGAGGATGGAGAAAGAGACAGCCTTGGTTTTTCAGCGGGGGATTCAGGCAGACTGGGGTTAAGATTAAGATTAAGATTAAGAGAGCCTTTATTTGTCCCACAGTGGGGATATTTTTGCGTTGCATCACAAGTTATAGAACAGTAGGAAAGAGGAGCACACAGCACAAGATAAGTGAACAATAGCTATACTAATTAAAATAAAACAAAATCTTTAACTCTAACATCAAAGAAGAAGTATAAAAACTCTATCTTGAAAATAATAATAATAAAAAAGAACGATAGCAGACATCAGTGGGAGTAGGTGGAATAGGCATCATATATACAGTATATGTATATATATTTATATTTTTATTGTCTTTTTTATGTTTGTTATGTACACATATTTTTCCCTTTGATTGTTTCCTCTCAAGTCTCTGAATCCTTCCTGCAGACGCGAGTCCACATCCACAAAGGGTAATGAGCAAAAAGTGAATAAAAATATGTTTTTGTAAAGACCATGGGGTCACAAATAAGAATTGTTAAATCATTTGATTTAGTGAGGTCCGGGGCAAGAAGTTTAACTGCTCTGCAGTATTTATGAGACAACAGCCCAAATCTAATCAGACACGTCTGACAGCTGCCAAATCCAGAATGCAAGAAGCAGCACATCCACAAATCTAAACAAACTCTCAGTCTCCGAATCCAATAATATCAAAAGAAAGAAATTGTTAACCCTGATTTTGACACAAGAACAAGAATACTGTTAGAAAATCTTTTGACATTCCAACAATATCAGTTTGTATAAGTGCCAACTTTAAAGCTGGAGTACCTAACTTTGCAGGAGAGTGTGAGGGCAGTGGTGATGATCCAGGACACTCAACATTCAACGACATTTATGGACTTTATCCACATTTATAAACATTGGTCCTCTGCCCCTGATGGATCACTGACTCTATGTTTTTAATCATTTCATTTCCTGAGTTTGATTCACTGATCTGTGTAGGCCAGAGGTGTCCAAACATTTTAGTAAGAGGGCCACTTTAGTTCGCCAGACTAGTCCAGGAGCCAACATCCCAGACTGAAAAACTGTCTTGACTGGCACCGGGCTGTTCTGAGCTTTAAAATGATCTGTAACAAAGCTGAAGTTGGATGGATGACACAGTGAACTTGTGTTTATGATCTCAAAGACTAGTTTGGGTAAGCACGGAGGGCCACATAAAATGACTCTGAGGGCCGCAATTGGCCCCTGGGCCTGAGTTTGGACATGCCTGGTGAAGGCGAAATAACGACTTTGTAAAGGCCTCCGAGATAACCACTGTTATGATTAAGGGCTTTGCAAAAATAAATTGAATTGAAATTGAATTGAACATTCCTTTTCCATTAATAATACATGTTGTTTATCAGAAGTCTTGTAACAGTAAAATGTTGTGAACAAATCTGACCAAATCTAAATAGAAAACATGTTATCTGTTGCATACTTGAAAAAAAAATCCCTGTGAGTCACTATTTGACACTTTGGGCAAAGAGCTGATTGGCTGAGAGTGAGTGGTCCTCTCTTTTTCACTTTTTTCTCTGGGGTGGTTGAACGATAGGTCCCCAAGCTTTAACTGCAAGACAGAGTTGGCAAAACATGAAGCATACAAATAATCAAATGTTCAAAAAACCACACTGAGCAGAAATGCCTGGAATATTGAAAGTAGTTAGTTCTTATTGTTGTTAGCCTGAACTTCCCTCTGCCTGTTCCCAAGGGGCAAACATCTGCTGTGTGACTCCTGACCCTCTCTGAGCAGCGAACTGGACCAAAACCCTGTTTGTGTCGTGCAGACTAATATTTGTCCACTGTTGTTATGTGCGTTCACAGATGGGAACGGCTCTTGTTCTAATCAAGGGAGTTGTTGAAGCGAAGCAGGGAAATTGCAGTACTCCAGGGGATTTATTCTGTCTCTAAAATGACATGGGCCACATCAGAATGACACATTGAAATGAGAAAAAAAGTGTATATGTATTTATTTTGAAATGTTAGTTTTTTGTGATCGCACAACTAAAGGTCAAGGCTTGAGAAAGAGCATCAAGAACTAGACAAAGTGACACATGTGCTGTGTTGTAGGTAATAGTGGGAGTATTATTGTCTATATAAAAAATAAAGTTTCTATAAATCATCTTCTATATCTTTATTTGGAAGCATTACTTTATAACCCTAACCTTGAGAATGTTGATAGAATAAAAATACGGTTTTAAACAGGCATTGTATTCACAGAAGCATATTTCTGTTTGTTTTCTAAATGTTTGTCCCAAAAAATGTTTTGGTAACATTCTGTGAACAAGTCCGACCATGACTTGCAATTTTTATCTTTCTAGAAAACAAAGAAAAGAGAGATTGTCTGAATGAGAAAGGAGAGGCCAGTCCTCTCTTTTTCACGGATCTAAAGATGTGACAGAGGCAAACATTGGTGATAGATAGAACCAAAGTGTTTTAAGAGCCAGGAACTACTTACACAGAGTTTAGTACAGAATTTTTTGTGTGGTTTCAAAGTTAGGAACTCCAACTTTAACGTTGGAGGAAACCTACGCAGACACGGGGAGAACATGCAAACTCCACTCAGAAAGGCCCTGTTCCGACTGGGATTCGCCCCTGAGTGTGCACTTTATTACTATTGTCAGTCACTCTTAGAATTAAGTATGTATTAATATATGCGTGGATGGATATGTGAGGGTCAATAAAGTATCTATCTAAAAAAAAACTACAAAAAAGTCTGTCTGCTTTGTCATTGTGGAAATGTTGCGGTGATATTGCAGTGGGTGAAGGATACAAGCTGCAGGTGTAATTCACTTATGCTGCTGATTGAGCGACTGAAAGCAGATTAAAGCAGTGCATGTTAAAATGGGACAACAGGAGCCTTCATTAACATCTAACCTCTGCTAAATAACAGGACAAGATCAAATGCCTGCCCGATCAGATTTGGGATGTCACAGAGAATAATTCACTTAGCGACATGCCCTGATTAAACTGTGTGTGACTGCCACGAAACAAAAGCTCTGACAGCAATAAGCGATGTGCAGAGATGTGACGCAGCAGAATACCTGAAGGACTTAGAGGAGGATTAGGCTTTAAAACTTTAGAGCTAAAAAAAAATAAGTTGATGTTTTAGACTTTGTAGTGACCCAGTGGCTGCGCGAGTGGCGTTGCTTTCCATCACAGTGGTCTCAAGGAGGCTGTAGGATCAATCGTTTGGAAGGGGACCCTCACAAGAGAATTGAACCTGGAGCAGAATGAAGGCACAATGCTGCCAGGGCTGGGCTATATAAGTAAGTAAGAAACGTATATTTGTATAGAGCCTTTGTCTGTTTTGTGTGTATTGTCTTTTTTTTTATGTCATGTCTGTATCTGTGGGTGCTAATGACCCCCCCCCCCCCCCCCCCCCCTGCTCCAAGACACATTTCTCCCTTGGGAGACGACGTAATAAATGAATCTGAATCTTTCACAGACGCATAGCACTTCACATTGAAAAGCATACAGATAAAAAGAACACACATACAAGTCGGTTCCAAAAACATATACAGTGCCTTGCGAAAGTATTCGGCCCCCTTGAACCTTTCAACATTT